ACGCTGCCATCAGCTGCTAGGTCGCTCCCAGGTACTGGAAGTCCTCGACCCTTTCGATGCTCTCGCCGTGACGGTCTACGATGGGTTCGGTACACTCTTCAGAGCTCAGGAACTTGGTCTTCTTCACGTTCAACCGGAGTCCATTCTCAGCGAGCACATCCCACCGCTGCACCTTGTCCTGGAGTTCCTCCCTGCTGTCCGCTATCAGGGCGATGTCGTCAGCGTAGAGGATGGTTTCAGTGGTCCCTCCATGAGTTCTTTTGCCATGACATCTAGAGTCAGGAGGAAGAGGAACGGGCTGAGGGCTGATCCTTGGTGTACCCCAACCGTGATGTTTACCTCCTTCGTCAAGCCGTGCGGGGTGCGTACAGCTGCTTTAGCCCCATCGTACATATCCTTCACTATGGAGACTAGGTGCTCCGGAACGTTACGTTCTCTGAGCGCTCTCCAGAGTACAGGCCGAGGCAGGCGGTCGAATGCCTTCTCAAGGTCCAGGAAGGCTAGGTAGCAGGGTCGCCGCTTCTCTCGGTACTTCTCCATCAGCTGTCTGGCGATGAAGATGGCGTCAGTGGTGGACCTTTCGGGCATGAAGCCGAACTGTTCCTGCGAGATAGGGACAAGCTCCCTCAGCCTAGTGTTGACCAGGCGTGTAGCTTCATGGTGTGGGGAGTCAACTTCGATGCCGCGGTCACTCCGTCGCGTCCCCTTTCTGTTTGAAGATGGGGACGATTGTGCTGCTCCTCCACGCATCTGGCATCCTTCCTTCAGCCGTTACATTGTTTAGGAAGTCTGTTAGCCAACTCACCCCAAGCTCCCAGGGCCTTCCATGCCTCTATCGGTACCCCGTCTGGGCCCACTGCTTTTCCAGCTTTCTTTCTCCCTAGATCACGGCGGACTTCATCCTCTGTCCAGGGAGTGATGGGGCCTGCCGTCGCCTCTATCTGTGAGCTGTCCTTGCGAGGAAATTCTTCGTTCAGGCCTTCCAGCTTTCTCGTACAGGGCGTCCATTTCCGTATTCTTGGCCTTAGCAACGGCTGCCTTGGCGAGTCGCTTGCAGCTCTTGTAGGCAGCGTAGTCTTCTGGGCTCCGTGTCTTTTGCCAGCGTTTGTATGCTTCCTTCTTCTGCTTGACGATCCCCTGGACTTCCTCGTTCCAGAACCAGGCTGCCTTGTCTCCTCTGATACCACCTCGCGTCTCTCCCAGGACCTCCCTTGCACACTGTAGGATGACCTCTGCTGCGTAGGTCCAGGTGTCCTGGACTGGCCCATGTGGGTCTGGGAGCCCAGCCTCCAGTATTCTTCGGCCGAGGCTATCCTTTTCTACCCTGCCCATTTTCCACCACCGAATTCTTCGCTCTGCTCTCACCCTTGTCTTCTTGGGGAGGTCTATGGCGATGTCTGCCAGGAGAGGCCTGTGCTGAGGGCCCAGCTCTTCCCCAGGCAGTACCTTGATATCCTTGATGGTTTTGAGAGACGATCTTCTGACCAGGACATGGTCGATTTCCGTTTGTCTCCCTCCACTGCTGTAGGTTACCTTTTGGGTCCTCCTTTTCGCGAAGAAGGTGCTGCAGATTGCTAAGTCGTGGGCTGTTGCTAGGTCAAGGATTCGTCCTCCCTCAGCGTTCTTTGTCCCTATTCCTTGTCCTCCGTGCACCCTTTCTAGACCCCTTCTGTCCCTCCCAACATGACCATTCAGATCTCCAGCTATGGTGAGATAGTCCTCTTCCGGAACCGATCTTATGGCCTCGTCCAGGGTCAGGTAGAACTCATCCTTTTCGGCTTCAGAGCAACCGGATTGTGGTGCGTACACGGTCAGTACTGTCCAGTACCCCTCCTTCGTGTCCATTCTCACTCCCATGATCCGGTCACTGATCCTGTTCACAGTGGAGACGCAGTCCTTGAGGGATTCTGCCACCGCTATGGCCACGCCATTCCGTTTGGTGTCTGCTCCATTGTAGAAGAGTTTGACGCCTTCTCCAATCTCGCGGGCCTTCGCACCCTTCCATCGCGTTTCCTGCAGGCATAGGACTTGGATATTCCTTGCGTCTCATGAGGTCGGCAACCTCACGAGACTTCCCGGTAAGCGACCCCACGTTCAGGGTCCCAATTCGAACTAGCTTCTTTGGCCGAGGTCGTTCACCCCTCGGTAGCCCTCGCATACTGACCACAGAACTCGGGCGAGGGTTCTGCGCGCCACTTCCGGGTGACGTCCTAGCTTTTACACTGATTCTATTGCGACTTGTCATGGTTGTTGTGACGGGTTCCTCCATCAGCCGGCCTGTCAACCTGGGCCTGACGCTGGTATCGTCCCCATTTTTGCAATTTTTGCAAGGCAGGTTTGTGCCTCGGCAGGGATTGAACTCGTGGCTCAGGGTGTGAACGTGAGTCTACACTCTCAACCACTCGGCTATCCCTGCCAAAAACCAGCGGTAACTCCACTTTTAAATGTCTGCTTAGCAGAGGCCCTCCAAACCCTGAATCCAACTTCCGAGCTTTTCCATGTCTCATTTTCGTCCAAGAGCCCAGCTACATCTATGAGGATATATAAAACTTGTGACTTTCTAATCGGTCGCTCTTGTCGTCCATAGCGCCAGGCATTGTGAGGACTAAGAACCGCATAAGTAATCCGATCTGTGAAGTTGCAAGATATATGAACGCGCCCTATTTCTGTTGCCGTAATCGTTGTATGGACCCTCATTTACAGACACATACTCAACAGAATGCCTACATCGTTTCACAGTAGTTTCACCTTTACCGTTTCCATTCATAGCGTGGTTACTTTATATGGTCACTCCCTCTGATGTCAGATTGCCATATGTTTCACAATATTGTATTTCTGATAATAGCTGTTGACCCGATGAGCATCACCGCAGTATATCATCATCGCTGATAACGGTATTTAACAAGGCGACACATCGTCTACTTCACTCCCAGTGATGGCACATCGGGATTTTAGTCGAAACCAGGCGACATCCCCCCGCTTTCCCATCCTACCTGACCGCTTCTTTGATTTTCCGACATCCTCATCGTTTTTCCGAAATTTCCCTGAAATTTTGCTGTCGAAAAACTGCGGGGGGTATATTACACAAGGAACATGAAATAACCTGGAAAGTCAACAACAGCTCCCAGAACTCTCGGGAGACCAAAAAGCAAGTACGACCCTCCCCCTCTCCCAAAATCTAAATACGACCTCATCCCTTTATAGCGTCTCTAAAACAAAAGAAAACAACTATCAAAAAAAATCTTCTCACATTATATACGCCTCCACCCTCTCTGCAGCAAATAGATACGATCCCTTGTTTGAGAATCCCCTACGATAATGCGCACTGTGCCCAATGTGAGGCATACGCTATTTATGATAAGCATTTACAGATTAAGTCAAACACTAAATTCAGCAAAAGAAATTTGTTGAGCTACATGTGTAGAGTGCGAGTGCTTAACACCACGTGCCCTTTCTTTTCACGATTCGAATTGGGACGACACATTCCACATTGCGATGGAACATCGCTAATTTTCAATCAGCTTATGATTAACATCTGTGTAGAAATGCAGTAGTTGAGGGTACGACCCTTCCCAGCCCCTCTCTACAAAACAGACTAGCTTTGCCGTCTTATTCTGTGAAGGCAGTTTGGTTGAAAAATCGTCTTCAAGAGAAGTTTGACCTACTAAATCCATCACATTCGCTTGGCACAAAACTGCCCTGCGATTGCGTACAGGGAACGCCACCTCATGACTGCTTGTCCACGGCGCGTGTAGAGCGAATTCTAGGCCATTTTGTGCTGCGAACGTGATATTTGTGTTCATGTGATCCACCTACCGCTGCGAGAAAATTCGATGAAAAAAGTGGTCTGCTCCTCCATTTACTGAGAGTGGGCTTTAGCAAAAGTAGCGATCACTTTCGTAGGCAGCCAGAAAGATTGATGCCTTGCATATAAGGCCATGTAACAAGGGCGATTTGACCCAGAACCGCGCTAGTGGCGCGCTTACTATTCACGCGGTCCTGGGTTCAAATCCTCTGCCGACTCCCGCCGAGGCCAACCAGGCCTTCTACACTCCCCCCCTCTCCCGCCCCCTCCGAGGACGGTAAATTGGAACCACATTTGTCTAGGAGGATGAGGACGGTAACTTGGAAATACATTTGTCTGGGAGGACAAGAACGCTGACTTGTGGGAGGACAAGAACGCTGACTTGTACATCGGCTGGCCACCGCAAGTCATTGTATAGGCCACATCGCATTCAAAAGCCACTACGATCTGAATGGAAGTAGAATGCGTGCCGCATCCCACAAAGGGATTGATCAACGGCGAATGACTTCATCTTTTTTCAACAAGGGAGGGATGTCAAGCGAATGTGATAATCATGGTCAGAGAGTAGCACTACTCTAAGAATAAGAGACAAGTTTCCAGTGAATTTGATAATTTGGGGTAATTTTAGCGTTGGCGCCTGCGGGCGCCAGGGCAGTTTGTGCCAAACTACTGTTATGAAAGATGTCTCCAACGGTAACCACCACGTCCGTTGGAGACATCTCCAAAAGTAGCTTGGCACATCTTGATTATTAGAATAAACGCCGACAGCATTGCCTGACATCTTTCCACCAGGCAAGTGACTGTCGCCCACCACTGTCCAACACCGTCGTCAACGTGCTGAGAAATCGCATTTCTCCCGAACGTCCTGACATGTGCCTTTTTCAGGCCAATAATATTGATAGCAGGAGGATAGGAGCACATCCAATCACGACACACTGAAGAGGCGACTGACAGTCAGGAGATTGGAGTTGTGTCGTCACGGCGTTGTAAATGATATCACATATACGTCAATCGCGAAAGGGTTCCTTTGCTTTACCATATTAGCGCCTCAGTGTTCTAGCCATGTAGCAGGGGAACCTAGCCAACCTCTGCGCTACTGAAACCAGATGGATTGGATAAACAGGCTTCTTGTGTGGCAATCCATACGTTAATTCTTTATACAAATGTACGTTCTACTGAGTTCGTGGTGCACATATTAAGAAGAAGGCACGCTAGCTGCTTGAGCAAATCCAACACGCTTGTTTCCGCTGTCGAAGACCGAATAGAATTTGCCGATGAAAACATCACCAAGAATCCACAATGGACCTAAAAGTGAGTAATAGGGTATCATTGAAAAGCTAGTTGGATGGAGGCAGATATACCTGCAGGAGCTGGGACATCGAGTCCCATGAAACCAGAGATGCACGTAGTTTGTCCATTCTGAGTCACCTGGAAATATCTCTTGACTGTTCTGCTGCTCTCACAATCCGTATGAGAAAAATCAGTAGTGCTCAAAGAAAACGGGACTTTGCCCATGGGACGCACTAGCAACGTTTACGCTGCACAGAACTATGAAATGTATGGAGTATCTTAAGCAGAATAGCCTTTAGGCGCTCCTCTGTAAGCTAGAGAAACACCATCTGTTGGTTTCCCACGACGTGGAAAAGTGGGACCATCTGTCATCGCTGGCGATTTCATGAGGGTGTCCAATAGTTGCTGCAGCCTTAGGTAGTGAAATATGCCTTACCGGTACGGCCAATGGACCAAGTGCCTTTTTTCGCCACCACCCTCTAGGTAATGTTTTGTGCCCGGCACAATGTAAGATCGAATCGTTACCTGAAGAATATAATCGGTTCCTTGAAGTACGAAATCCTGGCCACCGAGGGTAAAGGTAATTGGTGGAAGGTTAGGGATACGGCTGCATTCCATCTCGTATTCACCACCCAAAATCGGGATAGCTCCAATTTTCTTTTGGATCTGAAATCACTCAATAAGCGTTGGAGTACATGTAATTCATAACACCAACACGAACCTTCTTGATGATGTCAGTTGGTCCGGTAAGAAGTGATGTTCCAGTGTCAACAATAGCATCTACGGGACCATTGGTATATGATGTTCCGGAAATTGTGACGCCTCCCAATTTGATTCGCCAGTAATCTTCAGAAACTAGTGGCTCCCATGCGATGGAGCCCTTGAAAAATTATTGGTGGGTGTTCCTGGAAGCAGAAAGATCTCACAATGGTACCTTGTAATGGGCAGGATCGGTTCCACAGAGGGTCATTTCTCCACCAACAGCATTGTTGTTCATGTCACGGTTTAGCCAGAAAGCGAAGAGAGCTTGCGGGCACAGCGCCTGAAATGTTTAGTTGGAATAATACCTAACTGAAACATAGGGAGGTTGTCTATTAAATCCGCGTAACAGCACCGCTCGCGAACTAGCTAATGTTCCTGTCTAGTTGACTCGAGTCAGAACATTACCGTCCACCCAAATGGTTCGTTTTGGTTTCTGTGCTATACTGCTCGTCTCACTATCTTTTCTCAAAAATTATGTATTTTTGTAGTTCTTGTTTTGAGGAGTACTGCGACCCATTGATTCAGTGGCTTTCGAAGCTAGAAATCCAAGAAATTGGCTAAACGCTCGTCGAATTTTGAGATAAGGCCATGAAACTAGTAGAACTATTATTTTGACGCCGAATGCTCATCTTAAGTCGAGCTAACTTGTCAAGAGTACTGACTGCTAGTTCGCGCGTATCCGATTTCCTGCACATGCACGCGCACTCACTTCTTGAATCCGTTTGAAGGAGATAGTGGGCACATCATACGTGCGCCCTCCCCCCCCCCCCCCTCCGAAACGTGACTTGATACGACCGACCCGCCCCCCCCCCCTCATAGGATCGAGCAGTCGGGCAGGGGGAAAGGGGTATTAGCACATGTGAAACGGGAAAAACCGCGAAGGAAAATATGACCACTCCCCAATGATCAAACACGACCCCCACTGTTGGGGAATCTTCAATTATGATGCGCCCTGGATAGCAGCACGAAGTTGGGCAAGAAGAGGGAGGGGCGTATGTGCAGGCGACAATAATGAACAGAGCACTGGCAACGTAAGGCTCAGACATCGCGACAGCAGCGGTTCGGTTGTCGACTAGATCGATTGCCATGCTTTCAACTGCGTCGATAGACGCAAGCATGCGCGATCGACGCTGTCGCGAAGTCTGAGCGCTGCCTAAGTGGAACCCTATCCTCGCCTTTGTGCTTCACCGTGAAGCGTGATATTTCCGTCGCGTGGGAAATTCGCGATAAATTAAGCAGTGGTAGATGAGACTTAGCCACGAGTTATAGCTATATAAATACGACAAGGAATCCTTCAATCGGCCCAAAGAGCTGTTTGTTCCATGTTAATGCTGCTAATTTTATTACACACGTATCACTGCGATCCTCACGGGAAAACGATTGCGTGGCCATCCCACAGGGAAGTTAATCACGGCTCCTGTTTTTCAACTTCTATTCACCGGAAGAAGAGAAGTTACTGAAGGCCTTCCGAGGTTCCTGGATAGAAATGAGAGCTATATTATTGGGGACCCCTTACTGCAGTTGGAGAGTTAACTTTCAAACAACTCAGTGCGACCGGAAGAAGGAGCCGATTTCCGATATTGTAAACCTAGAGCGTAAATATTATGCTTTTAGAAAGAGTAACTCTTCTGGGTTTCAAATTCGTATAGTCCTGCTTCAACCTGTGTTGGGTTGATCTTCTCCAGCCATCATCAGTTCCGCCATCTGCCTGGCGAATTATCGTTTGCGAATGATGTTATGCCTTTTCAAAAAGGAATGAAGGCCAGTGGAAATCGAGTGAGCCGTGCAGTGCTACACATCGACAGATTATGGTTAGATTTATTCTGGGTACTTTTCCTGGAGGGGATCGTGCCGACCTGCGATATTTCCTGACATGATGCTTGGCATTCGTTTCAAATTCTCGGACGGCTTCTCTGCCAATGTATTATATGAATGTGGCATGTAGTCACGGTACAGCATCGTGATGTGTGGGATGGTGGTGTCAGTACGACCCCCACCCTCTAGGGGGGAGGTGTAAGTACGACCCCCCACCTGAAAGAGGGTCTCGGTACCACCCCCCCCCGTTCCCCACCCAACACCCCGACACCTACCTCCCATTCCCTTATTTTTCAGTTCTTCACCCAAACATTTTCCTTCGAGCGGGGGGAGTGCGGTACATAGTACACATGAAACAGAAGCAGGAAAAATCGCCAAAAGTCAACAACCGGGACCGAGAAGAATTTTTTGAAATTTTCTTCCAGCGCAGCAAATTTCTCTCAAAGCCACATACGACTCCCCCCTCTCCCAACGACCAAATACGATCTACCCTGTATGTAGTTACTTGCGCTTCTCTTCAATGCCAGTGCGCTTTTCGACAAGTTGTCCTCTTATATTATAAAATTGACCTTATTGGCAAAAATCTGATCCATAGGTTGTGGGATGCCATTGACTGAGATTCGGTCCCATCCCATACCGAGAATACCATCGAACTTTGCAGCCTGAAAATTTGCTTTTGGGTCACAGTCTCTTTTGTCTCCGACCTCTATCAACTCACGACGAAGGCGATTCCTGGTTCTTGCGTGGCGCAGGCTAGCCCTTGTGTCTTATCGGTGCACCAGGTGTGGTCGGATCCGAACTGCAAAGAACACAGACAATTTCTCGAGCCGAGAACCATTTTGTGAGTGGTAGCGACTTACACAGACGATGTCGTTATCGACAACTCCTGCCATGGAACCCGATCCGTACTGAATCTCGAATGGCTGTCCTGTCTCGGTACAAGTTGTGGATTTTTTGCAGTCGAACTTGAAAAGAACAATGAACGATAGTTGAGAAAAAGCTAACCTAACAGTACGCTTCCACCTCACCTTCTGATGAAAATCGCAAGCTAAATCAGACGCTTTGCAACCTTTGCACGGGACCCACAAATTGGAGGATCCAGTGTCGAAAAGTACTTGGAATGTCTGAGGAGGGGTTCCAATCTGGATTGTACCATAGTACTGCGCCTTAACAACCACCATTTTATTTAGCTGCAAGTGCCGCAAGTATAATTGTAAGTTCTCACATTCGAGTAGTCAGAAAGGCCCTCATTGTAGGCAAGGATTTGAGTCGAATTTGTAGCCCTTGATATATTTCTGTTTCAAATATTCAGCAATCGAGTTTGCTTTGTATGCGCTTCGTTCATAGGTCGTTTTATACATAGGAACACTAAATCCTCCAATATAACGGAATTTTATTCACGTCAAAACGTTACTCACCGCACAAGAGCATCGAGACCGATGCATGCTGATAGGAGTAGAAGCAGGAGTTGAGTCGTCATGACACCACTAAATCTCTCTAATCAGCTTCTACCTTTTATAGGAAGTCGACTATCAATGACGCCTAATACGGTTGCGTGTTACGTTATCAGACAGAGGGCGAAAGCCGCATGCGCTATCGCGGAATGCAAGCATTAGCAGAGCAAAGGAAACTTCGATTTTTCTCGCAATGTCCGGATAGTTGCGTTCGACACACAGTTTTATCCTTAACACGTTGACGACATAATGAGCCACCGGTGGCTCATAAGCAGGTGGTTACGTGGGGACAAATATGAGCACTACTTGCGCTACAGAGTACAGCATCGTTGTGTGAAACACAGGGGGGGGGGTCGTACTTTTCCGGTGGGAAGGGGTGAGGAGGGCGTACTTGGGTCTCGGGCCTTGGTCGTTGGGAGAAAGGGGGTGTATGTGCGTTTGAGAGAAATTTGCTGCGTTGGGAAAAATTTTTTCCCGGTTGTTGACTTTTCGCGTGATTTTGCCTGCTTCATGTGTACTATATATTCTCCCCCCCCCTCGACGGAAAGTTTTTAGGTGAGAAACTGGAAAATGTGGGAGAAACTGGTAGGTAAGTGTGATGCAGAAGGTGTGGGGGTCGTACCGAGACCCTCATTCACGTGGAGGGAGGGGACGTCGTGGGTCGTACTGACACCCTCTCTCGGAGGGGAGGGGAGAGGTCGTACATACACTACCATTTCACACACCAAAATGCTGTACCCTGGTGGCTCATCACCGTTCGCACTGTTACTCATGGGATATTTTAGTTTGAGACAACTGTCACATTTTTCAGTGCTGGATAGAGCATGGTGAAAATATCTCCAAAAACACAGCCACCGCCAAGTTTAGCTGAAGTACTTAGCCACGCCCCTTATCCCAGGGACTTCGAGTGTACGTCGCCACATGGCGCAAATAGGCCCCAATTTGGCGCCTGCATTTTTTTTCCACAAGAAGCGAACAAACTTGTGTGCCAAGATTACTTCGCTAACTAACCACGAACTAACATTTGTTTGCAACTGTTTTCAGCTCTTCAGTTTTTTCAGGTGATGCCCGTAGAAGCCAATTTATCGCCGCAACCTTATCTAGTTTACTACGAGTGACGAGCGAGACTCAATACCGCCGAATTACGAGAGTGAGCGGAGTTTTCACAAG